AGAGAGAGAGAGAGAGAGAGAGAGAAAGAGAGAGAGAGAGAGAGAGAGAGAGAGAGATAGAGAGAGAGAGAGAGATGACGTAAATGAACAAATCCTATACTATTTTGCTTTCCGTTCGTAGTCACGGTAATAACCTGGCTTTCACCGAGACGATTCATATCTCATGTTCATTAGTTCTTTTTTCTCCTTACACTGTTAGTAAGTTCTATTCTCCGGCCATACAATAAAACATTTCTTCCTAAATTATCTTATCTTATGAATATCACTGTCATTGCTTGTAAGCTACATCCCTGACCCAACTTAAGATATCTCTTGATATCAATGTTAATCCACATAATCTTATTATACCAATTTTGCTGTCTTTTAGAAACCCCTCCTCATTACCTGGTTGTTTTCTGTGGCATTTCCTTTCCTCTTCGTGAACGGCGAGAGAACGTGCACGTCATCGTTCGCGTCCGTGCCAGGGTGCCGGGTCAAATCTTTCCCGACGTCCAGGAATGACAGCCTTTCCGTTGAGACGTCAATATTTAGGTCGAGGTTGTCCAGGATATCGATCTCGTCGCTGGGGGAGAAGAGTTCAAGGTCAAGATATTTCAGTGGTAAGTATGAGGTTATCGGACTGTTGTTGTCTGTTGTTAGAAACTATGATCTATGTGTTAATGAATAATTCGAGTAAAGTCCTTTTCTAATACCTTTCTAGAGGTCGCGGCGGTAGCGTGTTGTCCTCAATCTCAAACTGTCCGTTCCCGATCACAGTGGGCGAGAGCTGGAATACGGTGCTAGACGTCGTCGTCGCCGGAATTTCCGTGACCGTGAACACCGGCGTCGTGGCGGGATCGAACGGCGTGGGAACGGACGGGACGGCGCTCGGGATTACGAAGGGAGGCTTGGTCGTCGTGCTGGGCCGCCGTCGCGTGGTCGTGAAGGGACGGAGGGTGGTTATAATGGTTGGCCTCTGGGTGGTGGGGTAAGTGGTGGGGACAATGGCAGGGCGAATGGTTGTCGGGAATGACCGGAGTGTCGTGTAGATGGTTGGTCTTTTCGTGGTAGGGATAGGACGAGCTGTGGTGATGATGGAGGGCCTGTTTGTGGTGGGTAGTGGGCGCGATGTGGTAATGATAGTTGGCCTGAGAGTGGTAGGGAAAGGTCGCGTTGTGGTTTTGAATGTGGGCTTTGGAGTGGTCGGGATGATCCGCGTTGGGGTGAGTGGAAAGATGGAGGAGTACGTACTAGTCAGGATGCCCGGCGGTTCGGTGCTGATGGGCCCGATATCGGCGTAAGATGAAGTCGTTATTGGCAAGACTGAGGCTATTGATGTCAGCGGAGGGCGAATGGTCGTGAAATGCTTGGAGGAGGGGATGCTGGAGGGCGTCGTTGCGGCGGAGGGTACTACGGCATAGGTAGAGGTGATGGGTGTGCCGACGGTGGTTGCGGGGAAAAGAGGCGTGATGGGCGAAAACGGAGGATGCACTGTCGAAGAGACGGGCGTGAAGAACTGATTCTCGCTTCCATGGGGTCTCACGCCAACGCCCACGACCACAGTCGAGGTGGTTACTGGGATGCCTGGGCGTCGATCTGGCTTGACTGAAAAGCAAACATCAGCGGAGTTTGATTACTTTCTATCACTAAATAGTGGTTCTTGATATGGTGTTGTTAGTAGAGACACAAATTCATACTATTTTATGAGACATATTTATATATTTTTTCTGTGCTTATCTATCTATTTTATTTATATTGCTTTTAAATCATTATACTTTCAAATATCGAATTTGGTGTCATGTAATCAAGTATTCTTGGAAAGTAGCTTGCGTAAAGTCATATCTTTCAGAACTTACCAGCAGGCTTGATGGAGTGATGCTCAATCGGCAGAACGACACCCCCGAGCAGAGGGTTGACAGTGGAGACGTGGTGCGTCGACAGCGGCGGTTCCTGTGTCACTACGTGTATGACTTCTGGCACTCCTTGTGGCTTGTGGGTGGAGTGGAATATGTGATCGGGTTTGTACGTGGAATGGTGTACATGGCCTGGTCTTTGGGTGGAATGGTGTACATGGCCTGGTCTTTGGGTGGAATGGCGTACATGGTCTGGTCTGCGGATTGAATATAAATGGTCTGGTGTGTGGGTGGGATGGTGTACCTGACCTGGTCTATGAGTGGGATGGTGTACATGGCCTGGTATTTGGGTGGAATGGTGCACATAGTCTGGTCTGCGGGTGGTATGGTGTACTTGGTCTGGTTTATGAGTGGTATGGTGTTCACGATCAGGCTTGTAGGTTGAGCGGAAGATAGTATCAGGTGTTGTGTGGATTGTATGGTCAGGTTTATGTGTCGAGTGGAATATATGTTCATGCCCGTGCGGCTTGTGGGTTGAATGGAATATAGTGTCTGGCTTGTGAGTTGACTGGAATACGTGGTCAGGATTATGGGTTGAATGATGTACAAAATGGGGGCTATGGGTCGTGTGGTGCACATTCTCAGGCTTTTGGCTTAAGTGCGGCTGA